AGAGAGGATGTTTTAGGCGGCAGGCGTGTACCCGTTCCAAACAAACTGTTTAACGCCAGGATGGTGGCAATTGAGGGGGATTCAGAATCTGACCCAGAAAAGCCTGGGAGCTTTAAGCAGCAAAGTACACAGGTTCCAGTTGCACTGTGGTGCTCCAGCCTTTTTCTTGGCGCCTAATGCACCTGGCATGAGATGGGGGAACTGTAGTTAGGAGGGAGTCTCCCTGGGCTGTATACCCCATGCATGGGACAGGGCGGCCCTGTACAAGGAGAGGAGGGTCTCCCTGGGCTGTATGCGGTGCATGGGACAGGGGTGCTGTAGAGCGGGGTGGGGTGTCTCCCTGGGCTACATGCCCTGTGCACGAGAGGGGGGTGCTGTACAGTAGGGAAGGAGCGTCTCCCTGGGCTGTATACCCCATGCATGGGATGGGGGCTCTGTGCAGCGGGGTGGGTGTCTCCCTGGGCTGTATACCCCATGCACGGGATGGGGGCTCTGTGCAGCGGGATGGGTGTCTCCCTAGACTGTATACCCCATGCACGGGATGGGGGCTCTGTGCGGTGGAGTGGGTGTCTTCCTGGGCTGCATTTCCCATGCACGGGATGGGGGCTCTGTGCAGCGGGGTGGGTGTCTCGCTGGGCTCTATACCCCATGCATGGGATGGGGGCTCTGTGCAGCGGGGTGGGTGTCTCGCTGGGCTGTATACCCCATGCATGGGATGGGGGCTCTGTGCAGCGGGGTGGGTGTCTCGCTGGGCTGCATGCCCCGTGCACGGGCTAGGAGCGTCTCCCTAGGCTGTACACACACTGCATGCAACAGGGGCGCTGTACAGCGGGGTGGGGGCGGCTCCCCGGGCTGCCTGCCCCGTGCACGGAGCAGGGCGGCCCGGCGCGCGGCATTGGGGGCCCGGCGGTACCTGCACGTCGCTCAGCTCCACCCGCAGGTAGAGCTCGCTGTGCCGCTGCGCCCAGTGCACGTGCGGGGTCAGGCTCCGGCTCTGCATGATGGCGGCGGCCGGGACAGGCCGGGCTCCGACTGCTCCGCGCGGCGCCTGGCGAGGCCGAGGTGGCGGGCTGCCCGGGCCGCGGGGCGGAGCGAGTTCCCGGGCGGGTGCGCACGCGCTCGGGCGCTGACTCTTCCGGCAGTCGGGTGCCCGGGGGGCTGGGCCAAGCGAGGGCTTGGTAGGTGGTAGGTCCTAGCCTGTGTATGGTGCGGCTGGACCAGGGGTAGCACCGGTGCGTGGGGCAGCCGGGCCATGGGCGGCGCTGGTGCAGGTAGGCTAGGTAGTGCATGGGGCACCTGGGCCATGGCTAGCACCCGTTTGGCCGATGTCCATAGCAGATCAGACACAACATCACCCGTTTATTCACCTGCACATCCACCAATGTAATATACACCATCATGTGCCAGCAATGCCCTTCTGCTATGTACATCGGCCAAACTGGACAGTCCCTACGCAAGAGGATAAATGGACACAAGTCAGAGATCAGGAATGGCAATACACAAAAACCTGTAGGAGAACACTTCAACCTCCCTGGCCACACACTAGCAGAGGTAAAGGTAGCCATCCTGCAGCAAAAAAACGTCAGGACCAGACTCCAAAGAGAAACTGCTGAGCTCCAGTTCATTTGCAAATTTGATGCCATCAGATCAGGATTAAACAAAGACTGTGAATGGCTATCCAACTACAGAAGCAGTTTCTCCTCCCTTGGTGTTCACACCTCAACTGCTAGCAGAGCACCTCACCCTCCCTGACTGAACTAACCTCGTTATCTCCATACTGATTCTTGCCTGCATATTTATACTTGCCTCTGGAAATTTCCATTACTTGCGTCTGATGAAGTGGGCATTCACCCACAAAAGCTTATGCTCCAATATGTCTGTTAGTCTTAAAGGTGCCACAGGACCCTCTGTTGCTTTCTACAGATCCAGACTGACACGGCTACCCCTCTGATACTTGGCTAGCACCGAGCGATGCATGGTGTTGCTAGGTTGGGCAATGCACCAGTGCATGGTGCAGCGAGGCTAGGTACTGCGCTAGGGTTCGGTGCAACCAGGCAACAGGTGTCACCTGTTCAGCCAGGCTAGGGATTGCAGCATCGATGTGTGGAACAGTGGGGCTATGGACAGCACCGGCGCTTGGTGCAGCAGGGGCGAGGGGTTGTACCACACCTGTTGCGTTGATGGCACTGATGCCCCAGGAGGAGGCTAACTGGATTGATGAGGTTTCTGGCTGCTCTGGCTCTGAAGTTGCTGAGGCCAGTTGTGCTGGGTGTCTGTGCAGAGTGCCATTCTGGCCCCACTCAGGACTATGTGGCCACCCTGGGATTATCCCAGGTGATTTTTGGTTCCCCTGTCTGGCTCTGGTGACAACTTTTGACACTGTCTTTCATGACCTTCTCATAAACAAACTAGGGAAATGCAACCTAGATGGAGCTACTACAAGGTGGGTGCATAACTTGTTGGAAAACTGTTCCCTGAGAGCAGTTATCAATGGTTCACAGTCAAGCTGGAAGGGCATAATGAGTGGGGTCCCGCAGGGATCCGTTCTGGGTCTGGTTCTGTTAATATCTTAATTACCGATTTAGATAATGGCATACACCGTACTCTTATGAGGATGATACTAAGCTGGGAGGGGTTGCAAATGCTTAGGAGGATAGGATTAAAATTCAAAATGCTCTGGACAAACTGGAGAAATGGTCTGAAGTAAATAGGATGAAATTCAAAGTACTTCACTTAGGAAGGAACAATCAGTTGCACACATACAAAATGGGAAATGACTGCCTAGGAAGGAGTACTGCAGAAAGGGATCTGGGGGTCATAGTGGATCACAAGCTAAATATGGATCAACAGTATAACACTGTTACCAAAAAAGCTAACATCATTCTGGGATGTATTAGCAGGAGTGTTGTAAGCACGACACGGAAGTAATTCTTCCGCTCTACTCTGCTCTGATTAGGCCTCAGCTGCAGTATTGTGTCCAATTCTGGCACCACATTTCAGGAAGGATGTGGACAAATTGGAGAGAATCCAGAGAGGGTCAATAAAAATTATTAAAGGTCTAGAAAACATGACCTATGAGGGAAGATTGAAAAAATTGGGTTTGTTTAGTCTGGAAAAGAGAAGACATTACAGGGGACATAACAGTTTTCAAGTATGTAAAAGGTTGTTACAAGGAGGAGGAAGAAAATGTGTTGTTTTTTTTAACCTCTGAGGACAGGACAAGAAACAATGGGCTTAAATTGCAGCAAGGGCGGTTTAGGTTGGACATTAGGAAAAACTTCCTGTCAGGGTGGTTAAGCACTGGAATAAATTGCCTAGGGCAGTGTTTCCCAAACTTGGGACACCGCTTGTTTAGGGAAAGCCCCTGGCAGGCCGGGCCGGTTTGTTTACCTGCCACGTCCACAGGTCCAGCCGATCGCAGCTCCCACTGCCCGCGGTTTGCTGCTCCAGGCCAATGGGGACTGCGGGAAGCGGCGCCCTTCCCTTTAACACCTGCCAAATATGCACCATTTAACTCCTAGGGTACAGGTTTAGTAGTACTAAAAATATTTGATGTTTGCATGGGACAGCTGAGAGGGATGGAAACTAAACTGATTCTTAAAGACATTGTTGATTAAGCAGTGAAATTCCCCATAAATTAGGTGGAGGGGGTGGGGAAAATGCCCCACAAAATTCTGAAAACTGTGGAGCAAAGTAGATTGTGAGTGTCACAGTTTCAGGGTAACTGCACCTCCGTCTCCTCCCCGTGGGCCACTCCAGGAATGCCCCATCAGGTCTCCAGCTGTCACCTGTCTCTGAGCTGGGACCTTTTGCCTCACTTCCTTCTGAATGGGGACTTGAAGTCTGCTCAGATCCCTGTCTTACACAGACTATCCCCCAGCAAGCCAGTCTGCTGAAAGACCAGCACCTGGCTGTACTCTTTTTATGGGTGCCCACAAGCTCTTTCTCAGCAAAGTACATTTATTTTAAAGACAATAATAGTTCCTATATGCCTGCTAAAAGCTCACCAGAGGTAACCTATCAGTCTTATGGGGCCCTACTAAGCCAAAGACTTTTCAACCTTTCTGCAAGATCTGCGGACTCTCTGGGACAATCCTGCTGTTTGCTGGATGAAAATGAACGCCCCGTGTCGGCTCAAGCTCAGCTTTTGATACCAAAAGTTCGTTCTTTGGCGTAGTTTCTGGAAAACCCAGTTTGACTAACTACCCCAGGGGCTGTGCTGCTCCTGAGTTGTTTACAGGCCTCAGGGTACTACGCCCCTTCCCTAACTAATGCCCCTGTTTGTAGTAAAAAGAACAGGGGTCCTTGTGACTAACACATTTATTTGAGCAAAAGCTTTCAGTAACCCGGGGCTTGTAAACAACTCCTATCCTCAGAGGTTAAGTTGTCTCTTTTCCAAGCTGAAAAGTCCCAATCTGGAATGGCTTCCATATGAGCAGAGCTTAATCATACCCATCATCATTTTTTGTTGCCCCTTTCCAAGTCCAATATATCCTTTTTTTTTCTTTGTTTTGAGATGGGGCGAAAACATCTGCACACAGTATTCAAGATGTGGGTGTACCCTGGATTTATATAGCCGCGACATGATATTTTCTCTTATTATCTATCCCTTTCTTAAGGATTCCCAACACCCTGCTCGCTTTTTTTGCACATTGGGTGGAGGTTTTCAGAGGACGCTCCACAATGACTCCCTTTCTGGAGGGGCAGCAGCTCATTGAGACCCCGGCATTGTAGATGTAGACTTGGGGTGCTGCGGTCTGTCTGTTTGATTTGGATCATTCTTATTTTTTAATCATTTTCTCCGGTGTCTGGACCTTGACCAGGACATTTGGCCCTGGACAAAAGATCCGGGGCTACCCCTGCTTTGGGGGTGTCCCTGTCCCCAGGCCCAGGCTGGGTGGGCCCGGACCCTCACCCAGCGGGAGGCCCGGGCAGGGGCGGCGCCGCCTGAGGGGGACGAGAAGCGGGGCGCGCTGCACACCGGCAGCGCCTCCTCCCTCCCTGCCGGGGGCAGTGTCCCGGCTCGGCCGCGCGGGGCGGCTCTGGGCGGGCCGGGCTGGGCTGGGCGGCGGCTCCGGAGCGAAGGGACTCGAGGAAACGGAAGCGGCGGCTGCGATCGCCGCCCCCAGTCCGGGCCATCCGCGGCGGCCGGGCCCGCGGGCAGAGCCACCCCGCCGGGAGCCGCCTCCGCCGCGCTGTGAGTAACGGGCCGGGGGAGCCGGGCCCCGAGCGCCGGGCCTGCCGCGCCTGTCACCGTGGCGACAGGGGCGGTACCCCCCCCCGCGGGGCTGCAACTGCCCCCCCAGACCTCCCGCATCTTCCCCCCCCGCGGGGCGGCAA